TGTTGTCTCGGATTCTCCAGCATCTGCAGTTCCTACTATCTCTTAGGAAGGATTTTGATGGCCAATACTGTGCAAGCAATCACTGGATCCACCACACAGACTTCACTGTCTTCAAACAATAATTTAAAGGTTTTTCTTCTAAAGGTTGCCCAGTAATTATAACTTAGCTATGTAAATAGTGAAGATAAATTGGAATAGGAAATTCTAAAAAGAATTTGCTAGATAATTTGAGTTCTGTTTTGAATTACAAGTAGCCTGTACTAAAATTTGAAACATTTCCTCAGAATAAAGCACTGACACTCAACATTTAGGTGCTTTGAATATGTTCATGCCATCCATAACATTTCCCACTGCAATATTTGTAATAAACTTGGCATGGTAAAGTTTTAAGATTCGTTTTCTTTCCATTTTTAGTGACTTTTGAATGAAAGATTCAGAGCCAACTTATCATTAGCTAAACGTAAAACAAGATATACTCATGTTCAGGTAGTATCTGCAGAAGAAGAACATTGACCTCATTCTTACCATGTAAAAGAATTTACTGATTGGTACTTAAGTTTTACAATTGCATATTACAAAAGTTTTTAGGAGTATAGAGTGTATTGGGGGGGGTGCTTAAAACATTAAATTAGGAGGCAAAAAGGCATCACAATAGCATTAAGGAAAACCCCAAGGTATTTTATAAGTATACGGAGAGCAAAAGATTACCAGGGAAAGAATGGGGCCGATTAGAGATCAAAGGAGCAATCTGTGTGTGGAGCCAGAGGATGTGGGTGAGGTCTTAAATGAATGTTTTTCATCTGTATTCACAAAGGAGAAATGCATTGTAGCTGGAGACTGGGGCGACCTAGTGTATGTTAAGATTGATAAGGAGGATGTATTAGATGTTTTAGTAGACATAAAGGAGAAGACTGCTGAGGTCCTGGCTGAGATACTTAATACTTCACTGGCCATAGGTGAAGTGTCAGATGACTGGAGGAAAGCGCGCATAGTTTCTTTGTTCAAGAAAGGCTGCAGGGATAGGCCAAGTAATTACAGACAGGGGGGTGGGAGTAGCAGAAGGATCTGATTCTCATAATTTTGTATATGTCAAGCATAGACACTGTACATTGTGAGAATATTTTCCCCATGGCAGAAGTGTCCTAGAGCAGAGGACATGAGTTAAAGATTAGGAGTAGGCAGCTCAGAGAGGATCTGAGGAAAACGGTTTTTCACCCAGACAATGGTAGAAACGTGGAACGTGCTGCCTGAGAGCATGGTGGAGCCATGTCTTCTTGCAACATTTAAGAAGCATCTGTAGAAGCACTTAAAATGCCAGGGCATTGTAGGCTATGGACCGAGTGCAGGTAAATGAGATTAATGTAGCTTGGTGTTCATTGGTCAGCATGAATCTGGTGAACCAAAGAACCTGTTTCAATGCTGTCTGACTCAGACTTTTTATCTTGGTCCTATCCAATTATTGTTCTTATCCGCCTCCCCCTCTCTCTCCCTATTTATTTCAGAATCCCCTTCCCCTCCCCAATTTCTGAAGAAGGGTCTAGACCCGAAACGTCAGCTTTCCTGCTCCTCTGATGCTGCTTGGCCTGCTGTGTTCCTCCAGCTCTACACCTTGTTACCTCAGATTCTCCAGCATCGGCAGTTCCTACTATCTCTTGTTACGCAGTCGGTTTGTTTTAGAAATGTGTAATTGGTCGGTCTTCGATATAGATCTCATAGGAACAATATATGATTTTGATATATTTCTCTTGTTATTGTTTGGGGTAAAGTATTTAAAAATTGCTATATCACCAGGGTCAGGGATTGTGATTATTTTTTCTGAAAAAAATTGTACCAAAGCACTGGAAGCTGTCAACCTAGACGTGGGATAGCTCTTGCAGAAAGTCTACACCGGAAAAAGTGTTTTGGAAGATTAAATGGTGAAAGATTACTGATCAATGATTATAAAAAGCTTTGTACTAAACAACTTAGCATTAAATTAGATTAAAAGAAATTGTAACCAAATGCCTTTAAAAGGCATAATCCTTTCAGTCAAGATGCAATGGATTTTTTTTTTTTTTTTTTTGCAGAGTTCCTCTGAAATTGTGTATGATTTAGATTATTGATAGAAGTATATCTGATAGACCTGTCCAGTGTGAACATAATTTTGACTCCATTCTGCTCCTTGTTTCGGGATAATTTTTAACTCGGTTGGTCATTCTAATTTAGAGTCCCACCTTCCATATTTATTATAGACATGCTTTCGGATATTCCTAACTCTGAAGAACCAGAATTGTAATTTTTACATGATTGCCAAGGATCCATTTTGTCCTACCTCAGGTCTTGTTTTGGAAGTGTATTGTGCAAAATAAATTAATCAATTTTGTGCAGATGGACAATACTGCACAATGTGCATTTCCAATATTTAAATGTTCTGTCTGTGAAAATGACTAGTGGCTTGGTTATGAATTGATAATATTAGCTAGACTATAATGTTATCTGTTGCAAAAGAGATCAGCTGCACTCTGTTCTCCGTTAAAAGGGAAAAATTATAATAGCTGTTGTCCTTGTTACTACATGAATCTAATTATAGCTAGAAATGAATTTTTGTGCTATCACTGTCCCTGTGAAGCAGTTTTTTTGTCAGTTTAGAAAACAAGGTCAGATATTACAAAGGATTTTAAGTATGCTGTGTTATATAGTGGTATTATAATATTACAGTATAATGGCAGTACTATTTGAGATTTTTGCAGCAGAGGTATAATCAAAGCCATATTGCTTCATCTCTATGTGCTAAACAACCTGAAAGTTTCCTTTTGATGCCCATTCCTTTTGGAAATGTTGGTGGTGTTAAACACTTTTTTGAGTCTAAGTGCATCATCAGGTGTGGTCAATAATCGCCGCATCCCACCGCTACCCTAAGCTGATGCATTGAACTGTATGCTTCAGACTTCAACAAGTGCACTCTTCCTGCCTGTAATATTAGAGATTTTGAAGACTATTTAGCATTTGGAAAACAAAGTGTGAAGTTTTCGAGCATTGGGCCCAACAATAGAAATTAATGGTGGAGATTTTCAATTTTACTGAATGCAGTATATTTTTCCAGGAGGTGCCGGCCAAAGAAATGTTATGAAATGGGTAGATAGTTGATATTAAATAGTTGTTTTCAATTTGCCTTTCCACAGGATTATACACACGAGTTTAATAAAACCAAAGCCAATTTTATCGCAATCCGAGAACGTGAAGACTTGTTGGGATCAGTTCGGAAGGACATTGAGTAAGTGATTACTATTTATCACTGTTAAAGCACGAAGATGCTTCATATGTTTCTATTTGATACACACACTGTCAAATCATAACATTAATGGTTCAGATATTCTGTAATTTGTTAGTTTGGATCCAATGATTGTCAGTTTCTTGCAGTATTTTTTGGTCAGGAAGGTTCATGTTTTGTATATTTTATTACAGTAGTAAAGATCCTCTCAGTAAGCATTGTATGTGAGCAGCATTAACTGCCTTTGATCATTTACATCTGTTTTATTTTCAATGTTCAATTTATCTTCAATTTTGATTGAGAGTTTGAAATGAACATAAAATTTAACAAAATAAAAGTAATTACCCACACCGCAGACATCTATCAGCTGTTAAGGTAAATATATTAATTATAAAATTACTGATTTTTTTTCAAGCATTGACAACCTGAAGAAGTAAACCCAGATGAAATATCGTGTGAATTTTTTTTTTTGTTTGTTTGTTTTTTTTTGTAGCTTTGTTAAAGTACATTTGGCTGGAGGACTAAATTTGCCTCCAGGTCTGAATGCATACTAATATCATCTGTTGGCCAAGTTGAAAATTAGAATTGAACTTGGCTCATAAAAAATTTTAAGAGCTGTGACAGGTGTCTGTGTCCATGGGAGTAGGGTAATACTTAATCATTTTACCGTGTCCTTTTGTTGTACCTTCAGATCTTACAAAAGTGGGTCAGGAGTTAACAACAGGAGAACAGAACTGTTCTTAAAAGAGCATGAGCACCTTCGAAAGTGAGTTTATTTTGTTGTTTCTTTCATGCGTTGCTGCTCTCATGCGATTTTGATTTGTAAGAACATGGTGAAGATTAAAAGAGGGAGATATGTGAGGAAAGCATTGAGGAGAATTGTAATTAAAATGTAGCAGTCTAATTGAGGTTCAGATGATATAAACTGCAAAAAACTTAGATGATTTGCGATCCCCCAAAGTGAAGGACACCCTTTATAAACATCACTCGCCATGTAAACGTGTGGCGAATTCTGTTTCACTAGGGTGCAATCAGTGACCCTATGGGTTCTCTGGTCATTTTGTAAGCCTGATGTGCATGCGGGTAGATTAATGATTGCCCTGTTCTTTCAATATGTTCTCAGCCAATTCTATATCCCATATATTAGACCCTCTGGAAGCAACAAGAAGACTATTCATTGTTCTGCAAAAATAGGGTGTGTGTATAAGTTATCCCGATTTTTCCTCTGATTTCCTTGGTGATCATCTCGTTCAGATATTCTATAACTACAGGGGTACTTGGATATATACCACTGTTATCTTAGTCATACCGCACAGAAACAGACCTTAATCCCACACTAAATTTGGCCCACATTCCTCCAAATATTATTCTTGTACTTGTGCAAATGCCTTTTGAACTTTGGAACTGTGTCCCCATCCACTACTTCCTCTGGAAGTTCATTCCACACATGAACCACTTTGGGGCAATTTTTCTTTGTTTTTAAACACAACGTCTTCATAAGTCTTTCTCCTCTTAGCTTAAAAGTATGCTCCCTAGTCTTGAAAATCCCCCACTCTAGGGAAAAGAGACCTACTATTCACCTTATCTGTATCCCTCATAATTTTATAAACCTCTATAAGGTCACCCCTCAACCTCCTACACTCCAGTGAAAGAAGTCCCAGCCTATCCAGCCTCTCCTTGTAACTTAAACCTGCCATTCCTGGAAACATCCTGGTAAATCTCTTCTGAACCCTGTCCAGCCTAATAATGGCCTTCCATTACTGTAAGAATTTGTTTGCGGGGCTATATTATTTAATCCTGTTAATCTCTTTATTTGGTGCCATTAATATATTTTATAATGAAATTCAGCAGTAACTTCGTTATTTTCAGTGGAAATGTTCAATTTCTACTTGAGTATGTTTAAAAGCTGGCATAAGGGGGGACATTTTTAATGGCCTTTTGTAAATTGCACAGAAATGTGCTGCGACCTCTTCGTTAATGAGCACTTAGTGAGGAAGAAAATGTATAATTACAGTACATTAGTCAGTGGAATTACTGTTAAGGGAAGAAACCTTTTTAAAAAGGAGTTCTTCAGTTTGAAATTAAATGGCGGACTAATGCTGCTTAGACTTTTGTTTTATGAGAAATGCTCAAGAAACTCGTTACTTTGAATGTGAAATGGAATATTATACTTTGTACAACTTTTTCATAGTTTCGCATATTCCTATTTTGGTGGAAAAATATGCTGCAGCACAAAGTTTGAAAGTGTCTTGTGTGTAACGTTTTTCGAGTAAAAGTGAATTGGTTGATGCAATGCTGATTCAAGCCTAAAGCCTGCAGATTTAAGGCTGTGTGGGTGGTTTTTGAATCATGGTGTGATACTCTGCAGCATCTGAGTTGAAGATACAAGTGAAATAGTTGTACAGGTGCTAAGTGTTATCTATGTCATCATGCATAGTAGGCAAAAAGTAGGCCAGGTGAGTCAGTGTAGTTTTTCTGGTTATGAGCAGAATAGTAGTATATTTAGAGCAAGAGGAAATGAGTCGTGTGGCTGATGGAGACCTCTGAGTTCTTAATTCCATATGATATTAAGATTGCAAAATGATCTTGTGTAGGCATGCAAATGTGTCAAAGGAAAAAGGCAATAAAATCATATATTTAAGTTTGACTAAAATATATATTTTCTAAATCAGAAACTTGATCAGGACAATCAATAGGGAGTGATTGTTTTTGAAACGTATAAAATCCTAGAATCTTACAGCACAGAAGGAAACCATTCCAGTCATTGCACCTGTGCCTGCTCCTTTTACAGAACAATCCAATTCACTCCCGTATGACTAGTGTTTTCCTGTAATCCTGCAAATTGATTTGTTTTGCTTTGGATCTTTCTTATTGAGGGGTATGATTGAGTTGTAGTTGATTCTATTACTCGCAGTTTCAGTTTTGCTTAAGCACAGTTTGAAATTTGAATACTTTCCGTTCAAGCAGCCCGTTTAGTAAATGCAAATAACAAAGTAATGTGCTTGCTAGTGTTCTAGCCATGGCAGTCGTACATTTTGTTCTATAGAATATTAGTGGCATTGGAGTTAGAACATACAATTTTAGTTTAGTAATTGTCAGCTGGCTCTGTTAATCAATTAAGTACTGTATGAAAAATCCAAATGTAATAAATTTGACTGGGGATATGCATGTCATGATCATTGTAGAGATCTGACTTCTTAAAAATAAATTTGACTTCCCAATGACTGACTGATTTATAGGAATCACACAGTAAGATTTCAAGTTTTAAGACTTTGTAACTCTCTCATTCTCTTTCTCTCTCTTGGCCTTTTGGCAAAGCCATTTTCTTTGTCCTTTGTTGCCAAGTCTACCCATGGCAAAGCCAACTGCTCTCGCCTTCCTTTGTTCCCAGGTCTTGAACCAGGCGCATGCATTTCTATAGCACTTGATCTATGTCCCCCACTCCCAGATGTATTAGGCAGAACAAATAACAGGTCATATACTCCTTTTTTCAATACACTATTTTGCCTTCAGTTTAAAGGTTAAAATATAACTACTTTATAAGGTATAGCAGTCATAACACAATAATTAATGGTCTATACAGTTAATTGCACAGCCTGTGACCTCATCAGTTCTGGCTTTGCTATGACTTTTTTTCTCTCTAACTAACTATTAATTCATATCACGTAAAATTGAAATGCGACTAAATTCCCCCTGCTATCCTCCACCTTGCAAGATGAAGTTATGAATGTTTTCTAGCTGTTTGTTCCGCTGATTTTATACGCCTCATTGTTTCTTTATAAGATTATTGAATTTTTTAAAAATGTTGCATGATCCTAAGATTAGCAGGGATCATGTGTTTGTATTTTAGATGATTAATAATTTGCAGTAAATGTCATCATATCATGAAGCCTGTAACCTGAACAGCATTGTATGGCAAATGTGGTAATTAACTTGTTAGGGATTATCAGACTTGAAGTATGTTAGGAGGTTCTCCAATACTGTCGGCCAACTGGGATCAAATTCCTAGCTAACGATCTGAAGAACACACTTTTTTTTGTTAACCACAGTATTCTCTTCCTCCAAATGGATTGCACCTCAAATCACAAGATAAGAAATGAAATGTTTTGGAACAAGTTCCCATGCTATTAATAAACAGGATGCGGAGGTGCCGGTGTTGGACTGGGGTGGACATGGTCAGGAATCACACAACACCGGGTTATAGTCCAACAGGTTTATTTGAAAACACAAGCTTTCGGAGTCTTACTTCTCCTTCAGCTTTTAGTGAGGGAGGTGGGATCAGACACAGAATTTATAAGTAAAAGATGGAACAGTCACTCCACTGATGATGTACTAAACAAACCTGCATGCAGTACCAGAACTGATTGATAGCTAAGTACAAATTGCAGTGAAAATGCATAGATTGATGTTTTGTTTCAGTGCTTTCACTCGTGCATATGCATGTCATCAAAATGTTTTAAAGCGTATGCAGATCACTTTTTAAATGTTGGCAGATCAATTTACGTCATTATTTTAGAATCAATTGCCATCAACTTTGGATTCAGAGCAAAAGCATGAACTTCATAGTACCCTGCTAACCATCATATCTTTTGCTGAGTGCACAGTTTAAAAAGAGAAACTTTTTATTTACCTGTGATTATAAGCCAAACTGCGCATCATTCTGATTGGGAACTATATTTCTGTTCCTTCGTTGCTGCAGGGTCAAAACCCTGGGACTTGCTGTGCATGTCCCTACACCCTATTGACTGCAGTAGTTCACGTAGGCAGCTCAACACCAGCTTCTCCACATCATTTAAGGATGGGTAAAAATTGTTGGCTCAGTCAAAAATGCCCTCATCCTACAAATGCATTTCAACAATTAATAATGATTTATGAGCACGTTTTCAAGGATAAAATTGGCACTAATCCTATCATAATGACAGCAGAACTATCAGCGTTGATTTGATATGGATGAAATGTCAGATTTCTTCATTGTGGTTTGTTTCAAAAAAAAAAAAAAAAATTTTAAATTCCACTTTCTTCTAGCTTGTTCATGTTAGCTTTTATCTAAGTTCAATCATCATTTATTTTGCTATTTGAAATTTTAAAATAGAAATCATGAACTTACAATTTCCTGGTTCGTTGTATGTAAGTGCTCCAACGTGATTGGCTGCTTATGCATATGCTGTCATTGCTGCCTTTGCCAAGAGAGCACCTTGCCAGATTTAAACTACTTTGGGGGGAAAAGGGAATCTACACCATGGAAATCCTTAAATGCTTGTGGCAATACCTCTTTGAGGTTGGTGGCAAATGCTGTTATTTTGCCTCTGACCGCAAAATGCCACCCATTATATCCTAATTATTGTAACATGGTTGATTTCAACTTGGTATTTCTTGTGTAAAATTGCCAAGAGGTCATATAACCTTTATACCCACAAATGTAATGCATGCAGTTCATAAATTTTGGCAGTTGAATACTTTCAAATATTGCATAACCAGAATTTATATATCCTTTCTATATTCAGTTTTAGACATGTGTTTATTTCATCTCCTTTCCATTTTCAATTTTAACCAGGGTGTGCTTATTTCTCTTTATTTAATTGGTTGTCTGCTGCTGCAGTGTAACAACAGAGACTGTGTTTTATAAATTGTTTGTGTAAAGGCAAGCTAACTTGATCTGTGTGCAATGATGGGATATTGTCTCGAGATGGCAGAAGAGAACTGTTGTAATCTAACACTGCAGCTTATGTGTACATGTCAAAGAGAAACTGCGGAGTTTTTCAAAGA